GGCCAGACTCCGCCCAGGTCTGGGCTGCCCACATGCTGGTCTCAAGACAGCATCTTCCACACGCTTCCACCCATTCTTCACCCACTTAAACAGTCCTGATAGGGCATCCACTCTGTGCCGGGTACCAGACGCAGCTCGCTGTTCCCCTGTGCTCATGCTCTGGATACTGTCTGGAGCCCTGGGCTGGTAGTGGCTGTTGCTGGGATGGGGAGAGCCTGGCCAAATCCTGCCCTTCACGCCAGGTGGGGGCGATCTTTGGAGGGGCTCCCCAAGTTCAGCTATCTGCCTATCGCTAGAGCAAATGCCATTGCCTTAGGCCCGTGGTGCAGACGGCTCCAAGTCTAGGCATTTGCCCCTCTGCAGCCAGGGGTCCAGGGCAAATCGTGGAAATAATCTGCGTCCTGTCCCCATCCCTTCTCTTTCTCGCCTCCCTCTGGCCTCTCTGTTCTGGTTCAACTCAGTCTCCACTGTTAATAACTCATAGTGCTGAGACTCCTGGAAGGATTTTGGCTTCTTGGTTAGAGACCTTGGACCCCTTGTCCTGGAGGCAGCCTCAGGGAGACATGCCTTGTTAGCAACATGATACCCACTTCCCAAGTCCTCCAAGCCCCCAACCATAACAACCCTGGGGACACTGCTCTGGAGACAGACCAGGCTTCTTGAAGTAGTGTTATATGTCCTGTAGGCCCAGCATGGCAGACACAGTTTTTGGCAGGAAATGGGCACAGTTAAGTCACCCCAATCATACATGAGACAAGACCCCCTGTTTCAAGCCTGTCTTACTCTCCTAATTTCTTCTTGGTTTTGTGCTAATATGTCCTTTTCACTTGAGAATCTTCCTTTTGAACAAAGAGAAAACAGGCTCTGGTGGCAGAGGGATCCTGCTGGAATTTCACAGCATGACTTGGTCTCCATGGCGTGTATTCACGGTTGTCTTCTATCCATGGGCGTGGTGGTGATGTCAATTGTCTCAAATTTATTGAAGTAAAAACAATGAATTTTTAGAGAAAAATCCACTCTCTTGCTCATGGACAGATATTTCTGGAATGCTAGCTAAGTGCCTGGCAGCCCTAGGCCTTGGGCGTGACAGCTGGGAACAAAACAGACAAAAATTCTTGCCCTCAGGGTGAACTACAGGACAGGTGTCGCACACAGATATGGGAAGACGTGTGAGCCATATGTGAATTTCTGAACTTTGAGAGAGATGGGGGTCAACTTCCCCAGAGGAGGGGCAAGCGGGGGGTGACGGGGTGTTTGCGGAGCTCACAGAAGGCTGTCTGCACCCCAGGGCTGTCTCTGGCCAGCACCTGGTCGTCCACAACAGGACCTTCTGTTTTTGTATTTTTTTAAACTTAAGCTTTTAATAACTGCAGAACTGTAGATCTGTCTGAAGCAAGTGGCTCCAACCTACTAAATCACCTCTGGCCTCCTCCCACCTCACTGGCACTCAGCTTTTGTCCATACGGAGACCACCCCATGGCCTTGGCCTTCTCTGGGAGTAACATGCACCCTGTGAACTTGGGCTGGGGTAAGTCAAGTTAGAGGGAATTAATGCATGTGTGCTCTGGATTTTAGAAACTACCTCCCTCAAAAACAAACAGCCAAAACCAAAATTTCACCCCACCTCCATCCCAGCTCCATCCTCCACCTCAAGTTTCCTACCAAGGGGCCAGGAGGATGCGCCTGAGGCAGGAAGGTGGTAGCCAGGCAGGTGGGTGGTTCTCCGCTCTGAATTTAGAGCAAGATCCAGCCCCTATGATGTGCAAGATCCCGTTACCTGTTTAATGCCTATAACAACAAAAATAAATCAATGTACCTTAACTCTGTAGAGGCTTACTGTCAGCCTGGAGAAGGCTACACCCTGCAAGCAGTGGGTCTCTGAATTTAGAGCAAGATCCAGCCCCTATGATGTGCAAGATCCCGTTACCTGTTTAATGCCTATAACAACAAAAATAAATCAACTTAGCTCTTAGTTAACTACCTTAACTCTGTAGAGGCTTACTGTCAGCCTGGAGAAGGCTACACCCTGCAAGCAGTGGGAGCATGTGAGAATTCCTTGTCCCCACCCCTCATCACTGGGGACTTGACAGTCTTCTGAAAGGCAGAAGGGTTTGAATGCCTCGATGACTGCATGGAGACGTTTCCTTCGCTTCTCCATTGCTCAAATTTAGTGTTCACAGAGTTACTGTGCCAGTTGCATGCACAAAACCCTGAATGCCGTTTTTTATGTGCAATTTAAGATATTCCAAAGGATGGTTTTTGTCTATAAACTTTTTTCTTGCCTTGAGCACTGAATTTAGAAGCAAACTCTCAGGCACATGTGGGAAGCGACTACACAGCGTTTCCTTAATATTTTCTCCTGGGTTCTATGAATTTGAATCTGCACACATTACTTAGGAGTTCTCTGCCAAGGTCAATAAAATATCCCAGATGAAGGTCACTGGGCCAGCCAAGGACAGGGTGTGGTGAGAAAGTCCTGCTCAGGGCCGCCCTCCCCTCTACCTGAGCCCCTCCTGTCCCCACCCCCCCAGCTCAGAGGAAGACAGGCTCCCCTCTCCCAGCCATCCTTTCCTTGCCGCTAACTCCTTCAAGCTGGGAGACAGACTTTTAGGAAGCAGTCAAGGCAGAGAAAATATAAGTGACAAATCAACTTTGTTTTGGGCTTCTCCCTCTCCTTCCTAAATTCGGTTGAATTAGTATTGGGTGGAAACTCCCAGGAATCAATTTCACATTTGTGAGATCTGAAATAGAACAAGTCGTGAAGGCTGCCTCCTCCAGGAAGCCTTCCCATGGCTTTTCTTCAACACCGTCTAACACAGACACTCTGAGCCAAACTCAGAAGGGTGCGAGTGCTGTTTAGAAGCGTCTTCAAGTGAACAAATGCCCCAGTCCTCTCCTGGGGACTCACCTGGGAGTGTTAGATTTGGGTGCCTCTTGTCATTTCCTGGAACAAATATTGAATGACTATTGGGTTTAGGCACATGGGTGACAGAGAGGGAGGTGAGATGGCCTCATTACAGAGAGGGTGGGACAGAGAGAGAGACAGGAAGAGGCAGGTAGAGAAAGGAGGGAAACTGGGGAGGAGGAAGGGATTTGGTGAGGGAAGGAAGGAGAAAAATTTACAGAAAATAGAAAGGAGGACGGGTGGAGGGGAAGAAGGAAGCCAGGAGAAGGGGGGAGAGAAGCCAGAGGGGAAAAGAGAGGGCAGAGGCAGGTGGGAGCAACACGCCGATTTCCCAAAACACTTCATTATCTCCAGTCAATGTTAGGAAAGGGGATCAAAGGTCCTGGCTTTTTCTGCCACTCAGAATCCCGGCTCCTTCTCACCTTGAAGGGGGAGGAAGGGAAACTGCGCACGGGGCTGAGTTGGCTGCCACGATGTTACACAACCCCAACATGCTGCCAATGTTTTTATATAATCCTCCGGTCCTCCCCATAAAACAGACCATAACACCCTGGCAAATACACTCCAATAAAGCTCTGTGCTATTACTGGGCACACTGCCTTCCAGGAGATGAATCACACCGCCGGAATGGCTGAGCGGATGCTTGAACTAAACTTTCTCCCCTCGTGGCTTTGGTGGAATAGCAGAGATCAGGGAAGCCATGGAGCTCAGAAATACCTCACCTCTGAGGAACCAGCAGTTCTGGGATGATGAGAACGTGCTTGGGAACTCAGGGGATGCCCTGCTCTCCAAGTGAGCGAGCTGCAGACCAAACAAAGGCTCAGCCCATCCCTCATCCCGGGGGTGGCACAAGCCTCCATTCAGAGCTGATGATCAGAGGCCTGTCTGCAACCCCAGCCTCGTGGCCAGGTGGGGCTCCTGAAGGAAACCACAAGATGACCTCGCACCTCCCCCACCCCACCCCCCACAAACAACATGCAGATAGAGCCCCCGCCTGCGCAAGCCCAGCGCTCAGACACCTCCTACTTGAGCCTCCTACTGACACTTCCTGGAGGAGGTTTGCTGGGGCTGCCAATGCAGAAACCAGAATAGTCAGCACAGAACGGAAAAAGAGAGCCCATTAACGACGTAGACACACACACAAACTTTCCCCAAGGTGCCTCAGCACAGAGTGAGCCTCGGGGGGCAGCAGCCATGGTATTCTGTCCTGCTGTGTCCCAAAGTGGAAAAATACTTGATCTCATTAGCTGTGGCTCATGGGCCTGACCTGCTGCGACACCAACGCTGACCCTCAGGTGACCTACGAGGAGCTGGGCTTTCTGTAGAAGCTTTCAAGGACTCTGGAGCTTCCCAGGTGCCATGACCTATGTCCATCTGGGTAATTAACACCTGCCAAGCCCCCACCAGATCCTTGACTCCATCTGTCCACAGGGCACTGGCCCTAGCCTCATGCTTTTCCCACAACAAAACTTTCTGGTGCAACCCCTGAGCCATCCCCATGTCAGGAGTTCATCTAGGCCTGTGGTCATAGCAGTGTTGAATACCCCAAGAGCCTTACAAGCAAAGAACACTACATCAGCAACCTCCAAAAGGCAGCAACACCCCCCCCCATCCCTGTTCTACATCTCCAGGGCAGGAAGGGGAATCAGTCCAGCAAAGCCGTGACGTCCCACAGCTCCTGGAAACATAGGGCCTGCCCCTCACTCCTGGACGTAGGTGCTGTCTACTTTGAAAGCAGGTCCCAAGAGCCTCTTTGTAAGTTCCATCAAATTCTCTTGGGGGATAAGTTTGGAGTCATTGTGTGTGTGTGGGTGGGGGGGGGGGGCAGAAGGCAGATCTCAAGCATCCACGAGTGAATGAGTGGGTGGTCACCCAGTTGGTACCCCCTGCTGAAAGGAGGCCTCAAACAGCTCTCCTCTTCCTATCTGCCTCCTACTTGATTCCCTCCCAGCCCAGGTGGGCCGATCATGCCCCTGGGGTTAACATGGTTCCAGCAGTTGGACGCAGAGTGGAGTGTCCCTAGCACGGGGGTACCCTCCCACCAGTCCCCTCTGCCCAGCCCCTCAGTCCCAGGCGGGACGCTGGCTCGTCTCACCATTGAGCTGGTTGTAGACCACCTCCTCCAGGTGGTCAAGCCGCTGCAGGATGGCCTCGCGGTCCACCAGCGCGCCCACCTTGGCGTGCCGGCTGCGTACCCGGCGGTCAGCGCTGCGCACAATCTGCACCAGTTCCTCGGAGCGGTCCTGCAGGCGGCAGTACACGGAGAAGAGGATGATGCCCACGAACACCAGGATGTTGACCGTCAGCAAAGTTTTGATCTTCCTGGCCACCGCCATGAACGCGGCTGGAAGCTGGGGGCTGCCTCACCCGCGGGGCATCCCCGTGGGCCCGG